TGTCCGACAAGATAGAGTCCTCGACATCAAGCTATTACAGCATTTTTTGGATCTAGAAGAACCTATTTTGTATGCTCTTGGAGAAATATCAGTAGCACCTAAAACAGATATTGCATCTGAAGCGGATACATTGGATTATATGACTGATTTTTTAAATTAGATTGCATATATTTATTACACAACAAATTTATGCACTTTTTTCAAAAAAATAATATCATTCGAAAACTTTGAAAGTTTATCTTCTCTGTGTCAATTATTTTTTAGTGTCAAATTTTCTGGCATTTGAAAAGCCATCCAAAAAAGTTTGAATGAATAATTTGCTGATGCTTGTATCTATTGTTTCTTATATTTCTTAATTTGTCATTATGTCACTAATGTTGATCGTCGAAATTAATAATATAATATAGAAATATTATTGATAAACGTCATACCATATTTTCGTCATCCATTGTCTAAATTAAACTTGTCTTGTCTTATGTGGAAAGAAATAAACGACAGAAATTTTTATAATTTTATTACAAAAAAATAATTCAAATTTTAATATTTTTTAAATATAATAAATAATAATTTTAAAACATATTAATCTATTAAATGTATCCAGATACAAATACCTATACAGTGAAAATATATCTAAGAGATACAGATGTTTTTTATCTTGATAAATTAACAACTGTCATATGGATTAACTAACTATTTATTAAAGTATCTCATAACTTGCTTAAATTAGGATTAAATGATTTGTGAAGCCTTATATCGGACCTGTTACGTTGGCATTGTCCCAGCGGTCGGTCCTATTTTAGTTATAATAACGCGTACAAATTAATCGTTTCAAACCCTGCATTGCAAGTGCCAATAATTCCTTTTAAATGACCTCCATGCTAATTGGTAAAATTACCGTTTGGTGTTAGCAACCATTTTTATAAAAATTTGCTTTTACAATACTTTTTTTATTTCTCCATTTTGTAATATTATATAAAATGTAATATAAATAACTTACTTATAATCCTTAAAATGAATATTTAAGAAATTAAAGAAATAAGAACGCAGACGATAATCAAAGACAAATCTTTTTTTTAGAAACTTATTTAAAATTTTGAATCGACGGATAATAATAAAAAGACAACCTCAATTTAAACAAGGGATGCGTTACGTTTTTTTTTAATTTAAAAATTACGGCAAAACGTAAACGCTCAATTTGTGCTCACTATAAAGGAAGGCGGCACAAGAGTTAGGTTGCTAATTATAATTTTTTTAAAAAATTATTAAATACTTGGTTCATAAAATGGTGACAAAAATGACACGCTCTAAATCTAAATGCGCATGCTTTATTTGTGTCATGCGACGAAACGAATTCTTGCCATAAGGGATGGCAGATATTTTTGGAACTGCAGTTCTGGTCCAGACATGATATACAATCTAGTTAGAGCTTTTATCTCCCTCAAAGAAAGAAGGGAGGAAAAAAATAAAATAGGAAACCAATAAATCAGTTAAGATTTCCAATTTTTCTATTGAAAGTTTTTAATTTTCCCCTCTTTTTTATAGGAAAAATAATTTATAAACTATCACGTCGAAAGTTCGTTAGTCCCCCCATCTACAAGAATCGGACCGGGTTATTCGACGGGTCGAGTCAGAGCTGATAAATAAAATTTCTATAAAATAATGACATATAATAATAATACATAGATTGACGATGCATTCATTAAAAGTGTTGCACAAATGAAAACAGCTGGGGACGCCATTTTGAATACCCGTATCATTATTAAAAATTATGAGAGTCCAGTTTATTCCTATGTCTGACGCGAACTTTATTAAAGAAATCGCCTGATCATCGAGATAATAATAGAAGCGTATTATCAATTTAAATAGTGGTTTTTTTTAACAATTTACCATATGGGTTTACCAAAATGGCTAGTCCAGCTGATTTGCATTCAACGACGCTTTCGAATGCATTATTTACGAATGTGTTCTTCAGATCCAGGTGTTATTGGATTACTTACATGTCATCGTTATAAAGCCCATCCTTTCATTTTTTTTCTATTATAAAATAAAGGGTAATATATCCCTGTGTTGTTAAACGGCTCACGATAACATATGTCCTAGACCTTGGTTCCTTCTATGAGTAAAATCTTCAGGTTCGCGTAATATTTTTTCTGGATGAAATATTGAGTTAGCCGTTTTTAAAAATCGGCTCAAAACGAGCACTTAAAAACAATAGTATTATTAAAAAATTTTCCCGAATTATCTCGTATTTTTTTTTGGATACACAGCCTAGCCTAATCAAAACAAAAAAACTTATAAAAGAAATATTACATATTAAAACTAAGCGGGCGCCGTTAAATGAGAATGATACAAAAAACAAAATTTTTTTTTTAAATAAAATTTGAATGTCTAATATTTTGATAAAATTGTCTTTTTATATAGACCAGTAATTCCCCCCTGATATATATATATTTTTTTTCAGAGGCGCCTAAATTAATATTTCAATATTTTTTTTTAACCAATCCAAAAACATAATAAATAAGTTATATAATTAAAATCGGTGCCATCTTTAAAAATTTGAATAATCCTGATTGGTTTCTAAGATTTAAGATTTGGAAGAATAAACACATATAAATTCAGTTTTTACTTCTTTTTTTTTTTTAGTTATTCCTGATAAAGAAAATAATTTAATCGAAAAATTCGAGATTCGCGATTCGTTGGATCCTCTCTCATTTTTTTAAATTTATTATTTAGCGGAAATATATTCTCTCGAGTGGTATTACATATACATTGTCGTAAACAAAACACAGGTATAATTTTTTAATTTTTTTTTAAAAAGAAAATGTTATTATTTCACCTAAACAAAACAAAATGGATGCAAATCCTTATATATATACGAGGGTCCCGGTTCATCGAGGTCCGGTCTTGCTTGGACCTACTATTTATTTTTGAGATAGGTTTAGTCACCCGACCCGGCAGATTATGTTCGCCCCTTAATCCAATGCTTATGCTTTTTCTAAACCAAGGATTTATTCAGATGCCACCTTCTTAAGTTTTTTTCTTCTTCTCAAGCGGTAATAGTTATATTTTACTACATTAATTGCTTTCCGAAAAAGTGAATGAGTTTTTGAAGCGGTAATCGCTCATAGAAAATAAGCGATTTACGTTGGTGTTATTAGCTCGTTTTTTTCTTCTCTTTCCCTTTTAGAAATTCTAAAAAGCTTGTTCTGAGAAGAGTTTTGGAACTTGGAAGAAGTAGGGGATCTTGGTTCTTGCTTCTATAGACTCAAAGGTTTCTCCTTAGAAATTGTTTTTCCTATAACCGACCCCGAAACAGGTCATAACCTCTTTAAAACTATTACTGTTTATTTTAGTTAAAAATTATAGGTCTCCTATATTTTTTTTGCATCTTTACACCACGGGATTTCAATGACGCGATTGGATTTTTGCCACCCTCTCCCCCCTCCCCCACCATCCTTCCATCTCTTTTTTCGCGCGTGTTAGTAGGTTTGTATCATTATTACAAAGATAGACAACTTATTAGTTAATTACGATATTTCCGTTTAGGGATGAGGGGGGGGGAACCCCTACCATTAAAAAAAAATAAATATTATTAATTAAATTACTCCATTAATAGGCGATGGCAGTTAACTAGTCTAGATCCATTTTTTTTAGTTCTTTTCGCTCGTCTAATAATCCTAATGTATATCTTATAATTCCATAAAAAATGATATTATTTTTTTTTAAAAGGAAATTACTTAAAATATTTTGATTTTTTTTTAAAAAAAGGCTTTTAAATTTATTTTTATTTTTTACTATGATTGATATGATAACTTAATATATTTATTGAATTATGATTCTATATATAAAAAAAAATTTACCTATAAAATGATTGGAAATAGATCTATTAACTATTATAAAAAATGTATAAATATTTCTATCCAAACTATATTTATTTTAAAAAAAAAATTTTTTTTTTTTATAAATCTGTTTTTAAGATGATTTCCAAATCATTCCATTCAAAGATGAGTAAGTTTGTCGCCATTTTTTTTATATGGTGGTGATTTAAAAAAAAATACCTTATCTCTACTTAAGAAAAAATAATTTTTTTTTTCGTGGAGATAAGAATTGTTAATTATATATAAAAATTTTTTTTTAATTTTTCTAGTGGATTCATTTTTTGTATATTCAAGTTATAATACCCAGATACAAATTTTTTTTTTATTTTGAAATATAGTTCTATAAATATGTATCTTAAGCTCGTTACTTTCAAAATAAAATACTGGTTTTTTGTAAATTTTCTAAATAAAATATATATGAATGTTTCCTTTTTGGAACTTTTAAGCTAACGACTTACATTTTTAAAGTAACATTTATGGCACGGTACGTAAAAAGATTTTTATTTTCAACAAATTTCGAAACTCTGGGTTATTAAGGTTGTTGACTAAATAAGCAAATTAATAAATTTTCGTAACTTTAACGGAAAAAAAGAAATAAGCTAATTTTTATAGCAAAAATAAAATAGTGGCCTAAATTATTTACTCGAATTTACGAAAGTTTATTATAATTATATTTGAAGTTTAGAGAAATTCTAAAAAAAATATTAAATATTATTAAATGTTTAGCTCGAAAGTTTATAAAAGTTTGCGAAAATTTTAATAATAAAAGTTTTTAAATTAAATTGGATGTATAAAAATAATTATTTAGACAAAAAAAATATTAACATTTTCCTATTTCAAATATATTTCTTTCTTTCTTTCTTTCTTTCTTTCTTTCTTTCTTTCTTTCTTTCTTTCTTTCTTTCTTTCTTTCTTTCTTTCTTTCTTTCTTTCTTTCTTTCTTGCTTGCTTGCTTGCTTGCTTGCTTTCTTTCTATCTTTCTTTCTTTTTCTATCTTTCTTACTTTCTTTTATATTCTCCAACCTCCTCTTTCCAAAATATTTATTTATTATTTTACGAAAAAGTTCTTTTCATTATTTTTTTTATGCGTTTTTACAATTATTTTTTTATTATTAAAATTAGGGTAACGAAAGAAACTTGATGCGATTTTTGATAAATCTCAATTAAACTACCTAACTCCCCCATATTTCGCTCAAAAATGATTGACATTTACCAGCCGCGGCTAAAGTTATAACCCATTTCCCTTTCAACTCCGAGAGACCAAATTTCTTCCTTTTTTTTAAAAAAAGAAAAAGTTATGCATTTGTCAACAATCACTCACTACACTTGGAACAATTCGCTTTCCGCAAATCACACTTCCGCCGTTACCTCGGTTCACCAAAATATGCGGGTATCCGATGACGTATATGAGATTGATGATGCGGAAGTATAATGTGTCTCTTTATCAATATTTGGTTGTATTTAGGATAGGAAACAAGGATAATAAAAAACATTTAAAAAACTATATTTTTTTTCCAAAAGTAAAAAAAACAAGGGAAAAAAACACTTACAAAAGCTATAAATAAACATTTTTAAATATAAATTTTAAAAACGCAAATTCAAAATATATAATTTATTTTCTTATATAATAAATTGAAAGAGTAAAAAAATTTTTTTTTGATTATCACAATTTAACAAAATAAACGAGTTATAAAATGATTGTGATAAATTTATAGGCACTTTCTTTTCTTTTCTTTTCTTTTCTTTTCTTTTCTTTTCTTTTCTTTTCTTTTCTTTCTTTCTTTCTTTCTTTCTTTCTTTCTTTCTTTCTTTCTTTCTTTCTTTCTTTCTTTCTTTCTTTCTTTCTTTCTTTCTTTCTTTCTTTCTTTCTTTCTTTCTTTCTTTCTTTCTTTCTTTCTTTCTTTCTTTCTTTCTTTCTTTCTTTCTTTCTTTCTTTCTTTCTTTCTTTCTTTCTTTCTTTCTTTCTTTCTTTCTTTCTTTCTTTCTTTCTTTCTTTCTTTCTTTCTAGAATTCATTAATTTGTTTATTCAAATTTTCTTAAATTTATTATTATTCGTTTTCCCGCTGATTTTTTTCGTTTTTATATGACTCTAAAAGTTCCTGAAATCTCTGGAACTTTTTTTTAAAAAAAAATTTATATTCCAGTTTCATTCCTTTCGCTCTCCGAAAAAAAATATGTTTTGAACCCGAAAGGTACCATGCACACGATTATAATTTTTTTCCTTCTTTTAACTGATCACCATCATCTGTTCTATAAGATCGTTAAGGAGCTTCTCTAAATGAAAGTAGAGATGAAAAAAATAAGGAAAGAAAGAAAGAAAGAAATAAATGTTTAATTCTTTAAAATAATTATATCCATAGAATACGGACCACATAAATCTCTACATCTATTTCAGCGGATACATCATATCGTTAGCGGCCTTGCTATTGGCTCTGCTTCTTTTGAAGTGCCTAAAGTAAAATTTTTAGCCAGCCATTTCAAACTTATGATAGACTTTTGATATATATTTTAAACTAAATGCCATTCACATTTATAAAGATATATATATGATAGATGGACTATAATTATTATGGACTAACGATAATGCACTTTTTATGGATAACAGTCATCATACCAATTTACCAAACAATGACCAAATTTTATTTAAACTCATTTTTTTTAAAATAAATCTGGTGACACTTGGAAAAAAACACTGATCCTGATGGGAATCTAGAAACCTTCTGTGTCTCACTCTTTATCTAACAATATGACATCAATTCCCTTGATCCCAGCTGCTATTCCAAAATTGATATATAATATCATTTATATAATTGCGCGTCTGGAGAAAATGGCTGATTTTTTTTAAAAAAATTTTATTAAAGTCAATGACATAAATACTAATCTAGATTGGATTGACAATTCATCCATAAAAAAATGTATTTAAAAAGTGTTTATACATTGAACACCATTCGAAAGTCATTTAGACAAGTCTATTAACTTAACAGCTGACTTCTAATGTATATACTGTACACTTTTAATAAATTAATCGTTGAGTCCAAGTTTGTTAATTTTAATATAATTGTATGAAAGTATAAATTTTAAATATATATTTTATTTTTTTATATTTTCCTCGGGGGGTTGTATAAAATAGGAATTTAAAATGTTCCCGCAATTCTATCCATTGCAATATGATAATCTCATTCGTGCTATCCATCGCTAGCTGGTTCTTTTTCTATTACGTAATTTCGTTGTACACGAAAAAGTTGATACACCTGGAACAAATTGGCACAATCCCAGAATCTCGCAATTCAACTCAAAGCGGATATCGCAATTCCACCAAGAGCAATGTCGACCCAAAAACCGTTTCGCTTCCCTGGGTTTTTTAAAAAAAAATTAGCATTAGTGCATCGTTTCATTATTCTGTTATATTTTTTCTTCTTCTTCTTAGAAATCTTAAAATATATCACATCCACACATGGGGATGGAGGGAGGGGGACTTTATTCGAATAATGTCTTCAATTAATTGGGCGTTTGCTTACGTTCAACGATGGATTATAATCTTCGAACCTTTCTATATGGGCGTCATTTTTTTAAAAAAAACTTAGGTGTTCCTCCCTTGGTTTTGGGTCAATCATTATAGTCCAGTACGGGTTAGCCCTTTGCCAGTTGGACCGAAATCGAATTCTAACGGGCTTTCGATACTCTTTTTGTAATTAGATGGTTCCGATCCCAATAAGATTCTCTCGGAGCCGATACAAATCATATTTTAAATATAGACCGAACTAAGGCCGGGGCTTATATAATAATTATGACCTAATATAATCTTTCACCACAAACGTAAATCGTGCTAAAAGCCTAATTTTTTTTTAAAAAAAAATTAAATTAGCAGCTGTTGCGATAAATGATGTTCATTTTGTCTTAGTTTGAGCCAGACCTAAGAGGCTTACAGTGCGCACTAATTGAGCGTTTACGTTTTGCCGTAATTTTTGAAATAAAAAAGACCTAACACATCCCTTGTTTAAATTGAGGCTGTCATTCAAAATTTATAAGTTTCTAAAAAAAAAGGAATTATCTTCGAAAATTATATTATCGTCTGCGTTTTTATTTTTTTAATTTCTAAATATTCCATTTTTTTTAGGATTATATAAGTAAATTATTTATATTAACATTTTTATATAATATTACAAAGCGAAGAATAAAAAATAGTTATAAAAAAGGAAACCTGTTTGCCTTTTTTTTTAAAATGATTGCTAACGCTAGTGTTGTTAAACGGCTCGTTTTGAGCCTATTTTTATAAACGGCTAACTCAATATTTCATCCAGAATAATATTACGTAATCCTGAAGATTTTGCTCGTAGAAGGAACAAAGGTTTGTACACCTATTAGCGAAATCTCGAGATGTAGGCAATATTTTTCTGGCTAAAATATTGAGTTAGCCTTTTTTAAAAATCGGCTCAAAACGAGCCGTTTAACAAAATTAGCTAACGTCAAACAGTAATTTTAACCAATAGCGTTTGAAGCGCTCAATTTGTGCGCATATGTGGTCAGACCCGTATCGGAAAAAATTGTTTTCAATGCACGATTCTATGAACCCAGTAACCATATTATTATTATACTTAAATACGGCAGAAATTATGCACCATAACCTGGTTCATATATTACTACCTTCACACTTGTAGCTATTTTTGGATGCTGAACGAGGGCCTTTTCCTGTTCCAGCTGTTAATAAGAGGTTTCGAAAACAAGGTCTCCCCTCTCAAATTTTTCAAGATCATAGGATGGGGCGTGCCATGGATCATGGTCACCATAACAATCTTATACAGATACGTTACTCTGGGGGATAGGTATTAAAAAAAATTAGGAAAGGAAGATTAACACAACAAAGAAGTGAGGGATAAATAAGAAAATAATAAAGAATTAGAAGAAAGAAGGAAAGAAAGAAAAAGGAATGGAGAAGATGGGTTTAGAAAGGAAAAAGAAGCAAATTCGTCGAACTGTAGAAGTCTAAGTTTGAAAAATAGCAATGAATTCTTTCTAATGCAATGTTTCATAAAATATTTTTTTTTTCTATAAAAAAAATAATATAAAGATGTAGTCAGGACAAAACCTTAAATTACTTGGGTTACTCGTGGTTCATAATTATTATTGTAAGTCAATGATTGGTTAAATAATTTTTTTTTGTATATCAACCACCCGGGCCGAGCTTGATTTGATAAAATAACTAAAATTGTTTCATTTTCCAAAAAATCGATCGAATAGCAACCGACCTTTACCAGGTCAATAGGATCCGGTCCGACCCGGTCCTATTGACCTTCAACTAATTTTTTTTTTTACAAAATTAATATAAGTCCAGGAGATTGATTCAACACCCGGAAATTTATGAACATGGATATGAAAGATTTTTAAAAAAAAAAATAAAATAAAGAGAAAGCACTTTGATACATATATGGCTCCATGTGAGCCGATTTTTTTAAAAAAAATGTGGGGGGGGGGGTGGCAGCTAATTTAATATTTTATCTAAACAAAACGGCGACACTAAAGATTTTGTTCATAAGAATGGCAACAAATAGTTTGGACCAATCTATTATTCCAAAAGGATTTTCTGGCTAAAAAGTATTGAGTCAGCCGCTATTAACAATCGGCTCAAATGGAGTGACTTTGTGTAATTAGTAATGCGTATGACGGGTAACATCTCACTAGAAATCAATCTCTTTTGTGCGTGTTCAAATCAAGTCGCGTATTGCTAGTATGTGAACTAGAAATGATTCGAAAGTTAATGATCGAATTGTCTAAAAATTTATAGGGGAAGTACATTTCAGGCAAATTTGGATATACCTAACATTTATTTTTCAAAAAAAAATGAAGCATTTAGCCAAAATTGTGCTATTAACCACCTTTAAGTCATTAATTTTTGGCGGATTTTTCCTTTTCTTTTCAAAAATGTGTTCCCTCAAGCGTGTGTAGAATACCTTACATTATAAATTTTAGTCACTTTTTTGCACGATATTTACACATATTGGCTAAGGCTATATCTTGATCATAGTGATGCGATTGCGATCGCTATTTAGCAGCGATAATTACAAAATACAGCAAATATATCATATCGCATTTATAGTTACCAATGGCGCAACTTGAGTCGCAAAAGCTAATCGCCAGCGATTTAAAAAAATAAAAATAAAATCATTTCGTATTTATCCATGAATTCATAGTGAAAATCGCCGCGATCGATCCAGCTGATACGTCTCTCTATATCATGGGTCAATCGCGATCGCGCTTCATTATGAATTCCAAGATACGCGTATTGACTGATTAATTCGAAATGACTGTTTAAATTATATACCGTATATATTTAACGTGGCCTATATTAGATCAATTTTTCGCTGTTATTGGTAGTGTGCTATATCGTCTATAAAAAGCGGAAATCGCCTGTCGGTCACCCCAAAGAGTAAAAAAATAAAAATTCATAACTTTATTATCCATATTTATTTATTACAACAATAATTTTATTGGCACTAATTAATCTTTTTTGCGTATTCATTGTATGATCATCTTTTCAAGGAAGAAAGAACGGAAGGAAGAAAGAACGGAAGGAAGAAAGAACGGAAGGAAGAAGGAGAGAAAGAAAGGGATCAAAAAATAGGGTTTTGGTACTCGGAAGAGGAAAAAAAAAATTATATTTCAATTTCGAATTTCTTATTATTTAATTTATTTAAAAAACAAGTCATTCTTATAAAGGGTTTCTATTCCTGATGCCTTTGTTCGGCATAACGCATTTGTTCTTCAGCAATGGTCACTATTTTAGCAGAAGGCTATCGCCAGCTCTCCACTCAACTCAGGTTAACCAATCCCTTCATTAATATACGATATAATATATGCGATTATGCGTGATGCAAAAATCCAATAAATATTTTGTAAATTATTTTGAAAAAAAAGTGAGGCTTGAATTCACGATATGGCTCTTAAAACCGGTCCGGTTTTCAAACTTAATCCGATTTCGGTTTTAAATATCCAACCCTGGAATTTATTTATTTTTTAAAATCGATATCGTTCGCGTCTCACAATTTTTTCATAATTTATACTGTATTTATACTTTGACATTGAATTTTTTTTATAATGTTATAAATTACCAAAAAGAAAACAATGTATTTAATATTAAATTAAATTAAAATACGGTTATTGCCTATTTATATGAAAGAATTTTTTAATAATATAGTAAACTAGATACGGAATAAATAGGAAAGTATTTTCGATTTCTACGTCGTAATGTTAAAAACGGCTCAATTTTTTATTAAAATGGCTACGAGAATTTCGTTGATAGACATCCAAATCTTCTACTAGCAAAATCTCCCGCCATGCGAAATATTTTTTGGCGGAAATAATTGGGTTAGCCTTTTTTTTAAATATCGAGCCGTTTAAACAACAACACACACTCTAGGTAACTTTACAAAAATTTATTATTTTAGTTTTCAAATTTATTTTTTTTTAAAAAAAATATTTATTTATAATTAATTTAAATTTTAACTTGATTTACCATCTAAAAATAAACAAAGCTTTAAAAAAAATTTTTTTTTGATTTTTCGAAAATTTTTTATAATGCATAAAAATCACAATGATTTTTTTAATGCAAAAAGATTTTTAATGCATAAAAATCACAAAAAGATTTTTAATGCATAAAAATCAATTTTTTTTAATTAAAAAGAATTGGAATTTTAGATTAAAATGGAGCATTCCCCCAAAAAAATATTCGTAGATCAAAATACTTGACGATTTTTTTTTATTTTGAAAAGTTTTCGAATTTTAAAAAATAGCAAAGTTTCTAGAAATTTGAGTGACGGCCGGTTATGTAACACTTTTAAGGTAGGGGGGGCGGTGAACTATGCTCCAACTAACCATTCGCATTATTTTTCCTTACCTTATCTAATAGTTTTACATTTTACGCTATAAATTAAATATATCTATTTTTTTGAATATTAAGACGAGTAATTAAATTTAACTCTTTGTATATTTTATATTCATCCAGGGACTCGCCATATCCCTCTATTGTTGCTATCTTAATGGAGAAGTAAACATATTTGTTAAATGTTTATATAAATAATTTTCCCTAAAAAAAATTCTTTCTTTCTTTCTTTCTTTCTTTCTTTCTTTCTTTCTTTCTTTCTTTCTTTCTTTCTTTCTTTCTTTCTTTCTTTCTTTCTTTCTTTCTTTCTTTCTTTCTTTCTTTCTTTCTTTCTTTCTTTCTTTCTTTCTTTCTTTCTTTCTTTCTTTCTTTCTTTCTTTCTTTCTTTCTTTCTTTCTTTCTTTCTTTCTTTCTTTCTTTCTTTTCTTTCTTTCTTTCTTTTCTTTCTTTAGAATGTCTGACCGAACTCCGGTCAGACTTGGATCTGTCAGTGCATGGATCACATGCCAACTCTATGTTCATCATATTTATGTCTGCATTCTTCAAACGAAAAGGTTCACCAGGCCCTAATATCCTTATACAAAATCTGGGCCAACGCTAAAAATCGTAGATCCTCGTCCAATAATTCCGCGACCAACCCTCCCTCGGCTCTGTTATTTCCTCCGCTCTGTTCCGTCCTCACCAATACTATCACTCATTCCGAGTCCACCATGGAAATTCTGGATTCGTCCGCCAGCGCCAAGGGAAACGGCGTGGACCTGGTAGGCAAAAGAGGTAAAGAGATCGCTCAATGGGCTGGTCGAATATTTAGGAGAAACGGCAACGATTATAGTGCCATAAGGACGTCTTGTTCTAGCAACATCACCGTTATCCCTACCGCTAAATAAAATCACGAATTTTGTTTTTTTACGGATCTTAATTATAAATAATTATTGTTATTGTAGTATTTGTTAACCGATTTTTTTTATTAATCCACCAAAAAAATATATTTCGCGTAGGTTTTTTGGTGGTACTTCACAATCGTAATGTATCGACCATTTTGAATCGCGTAAGCAAAAAGGTGCGAATGAATATTATATCGAATTTATCTGTATTTTTGTTTTTGACGTCTTCGTCACGTGAGCTATTGTAATAAATGGAACATTTTTTTTCCTCTTCTACTTAAAAAAAAAGCCTCAGAGACTATTTTTTGATGTATTATTTTTTTTAAAAATTTTTATACAAAAATTTTAAATAAATTTTTACAAAAATGCAAAAAAAAATGCTAATCTTTTGGGGGGAAAAAAATGGAGAAAAAAAAATCATATCAGCTGAATATTTTTAAAAAAAAAATTATTGGTCGATTAGTAAAATTAAGTCGGTATTAATGTTGTTAGCATGAATCCTAGCGGAAAAAATTTTAAAAAAATCATATAAATTTATTAATGTTTTAATAATGATGGGGAGATGGCGGGTTATGATCGGTTAACGCGCGCGATTTTTTTAATGAACATGTTTTGTATATATTAACGCGTTTTTTTATATATTACAATATATATGTATTTATATTTTTATGTTAATCATGTTTGGATAAATAAAAATTTCCGTCAATCAATCATTAATTTAATTTCATTATATATATATATATATTAGCATTTTCAAACTTTAAAACACTTTTTTGGCGCGTTTTTTTTAAAATTTAAAAATCTAATTTTACCGGAAATGAATTCCAGCATGTTTAGAATACCCATCTTTTGTAGATACTTTTTACCGTTAAATTTCGAGTTATTTTATAATTTATATGAAAAATCTATGGAAAAATTTAGTTGTTAAAGTAACTAGTAAAAAGCAACGAGTTACTTTTTTCTAAAAAATAACTGTAACTAGTTATATTTTAAAAATTGTAACTAGTAACTGTAACTAGTTAAGTTTTTTGAAATGTAATTAGTAACTGTTACTATTTATGTTTCAAAAGTAACTTAAACAACACAATAAATTATATTAAGTTCTAAAGTTCATGTTAAAATTATCTGAATTTCTTAGGGTAGGCACTTCAAACATGATAGAATACATTTTCGGTAAGATTTTTAAATTAAAAAAAAACGAGCTTAAAATAAAAGTTGGGAAAAATTATACATTGCCAGAAAAAAACACCTTCCCGCTAACATGAAATAAATTAGGAGAACCTTGCAAGGGAAAAAAGTGAACGAGAATAGATCAAAAAATACACTTTATCTGTAGCTTTTATAAATCTTACCCGCCAAGTGTGCGTTAAATATCAATGCAAAATAAGAAATAGATAATTCACCTTTTAAAGGTTCGGCCCAATGTTTTTAAATTATTTGATTGGTTGATTTTTATTCTAATAGATTTTTACTTTAAATTTATAAAATATGCAGTATTATAAAATTACAAATTTTTTTAAAATATTATTATAATATCTTCGCGTTCTTTTCGCCCGATAATACATTTTAAATTTACTCTTACGGGTAGCCCATTGTCTTAAAAATATTTTCACCCTCCCCATAATGTAGGCGGGTGGGAGGTAACCTGTAAGATTTTTCGTAATGCGTTATAGATACATTTTTTAAAGTTATAATTACATTTTTTAAAGTTACAATTACATTTTTTAAAGTTACAAGTTTTTAAAAACACTTGAAGGAATTAGTTTAAGTTAATGTTTTTACCTAATAGTTAGTTTAGTCTTGGATAACTTAGTTTCACCTGACTACTAGTTATCTGAGATCTTTTTATCCTTCTTGATGACAAAAAAAAATTTTTTTTTATAAGCCGATTTAATATCGATGTTTAATTTTTTAAAATTGCTCGCCTGTAGTAAAATTACAAAATGTGGAGATGAGATAATCTAATTCTCGGGCGAAGATATCATTGATCAGCTTAGGGAAGTTTGCTTGTATCATAACATAATTATTGCTTACCAAAAGTAACTATAATTAAACCTTAAACGCGAATATGTTATTTATTTTTTTCAAAAAAATCACTCGAAAATTCAACCCAAAGGGAAAAATTACTTTTGTTTTTTTCGGAACCGTTTTTAAAAAAATTGTTCACTAAATATAAAACATCATATTTAACTATCATTCCTATTCTAAAATTAAAGATGTATTATTCAAATAGGGAAAATTATGCCAGGACTAAAAATAAATCATTTGACAATGGCATTAATAGCGATCTTGGTCTATTGCCAAAATTTATTACCCTTTCATTGTATAGCCAAATATCTAATATCTCTAATTCACTTTAGCAATTCCAGAATTTGCAAAAAAAATCCTTTATCTTATTTTCTCTAAAGTCCCATTATATATCTATGTGTATCCCATATTCACAAAATAATCCAAAATGATATATATTACGAAAATTATAAAATAATAAATAAACTAATACATAACATTTATCCCTTAATTTAATTGGTTTCGTCTGTGTATACTCTTTTGGGATATCGATCATGACATGTAGTTTCTGACTTTTGTATAATACTTTCTTCAGCATCTTGATTTGTATCATTTTCCTAACTCTCCTTTAGATTCATTTCGTCGTTATTATTTACTATGCCCTCTTTGTCTACTATTTCTTCAGTTCTCTCTTCTATTTGGTATACTCTTCGGTTAATATATTTTCGGTTCTTTTCTTTACTTGATCAATATGACGTTTAATCGGTTTACTCTGTTTCATACTTACTTCATATAATAGTGATCCCAGTATACTTTTTAATAATAACCTTTTTCTATATTTTTTATCATAGAAAATTCCTGACCAATTTTTTTTACCTATTTAGAATTTTTGAGCATAGTGTTCTAACTTCTCCTTTTTTGTTCCCCCATTCGAATAATTGTTCTAGCAATCTTCTATGCCTAATTTTTAATAATATTTCTACTAATTTTCTGCTACTGATTTAAATGTTAAAATCCATGGCCCTATAGGATATCATTTTAAGCCAACTATTTAAAGGATTTTATACCTTGGCCAAAGAATTGTCCATCAAGATCTCTTGGTCATCTTGTAAAATTACCAAAATACGATTTTTAAGAATCAAATAATTCCTAATCTGATTAGCACGAACAATAAACACATGATTTTTCGATTGGGAAATTGATTTCGTTAAAAATATTTAAAAATTAATGAAAGACTGGATTAAATTTTTTAAAAAGCGATTGACAGAACACGCAATATGTGAATAAAGTTTAAAAATAAAATAACAGTTCCACAAGGAACATCTTAAACGAATTATTAAAAAAATTACATTTGTTAAATGGCGCGATTTGAGCCTAATTTTCTTAAAACAATATTATGCAGCCTGAAGATTATGCATAGATGACACAAAATCTCGAGGCTTAGGACAATATTTTTGGCTGTCTAAAATCTAGAGTCAGCTGTTTTTTAAAAATCTTAAATAGAACCGTTTAACAACACCAATTTCTCTGAGTATACATTCAATTTTTTCTACCAATATTTTCTATTATTCAAAAAAAATCATATATTAGTAAGGCAGAAGTGTCTGGACATAAAGATTCGGACAACAGGACAAGACACCGAAAAAAAAATCCACCTGACAAAAATAATCAAAATTTTAAGTAAAAAATTATTTTTGCTGCTTAGAAAATTTTTAAAAAAGATATAAAATTCTTTCACACAGATATTTGTAAGAATAATCGGCTGTCATAATTGTATCAGCTTCTTCAGATGAAATATCTGATTTAGGCCATTCTGATATTTCTCTAAGGGCCCTCATCAATGTTTTTTTAAGAAAAAATGCAATATATTTTTAATTTTCGTGAAATAAAATATTAATGTACAAATGAGAAATAAATAGAAAGATTAAAAAAAATTTATATTTGATTTGATATTTATTTTTTGAGGGGAAAATAATATAATTCTAAATAAAAGTGAGGCTTTTTTTAACTACCTTTTATTTACTATCATCCTCGATAAAAAAAATATCGCTTTTATTAATAGGAAAAAAAAGAATATTTTTTGGGACCGTCCCGTATAAGACGGGGTTGAGTGGTAACCCAATTTGGGATTTTTAAATAAATTCCTATAATTACCCAAAAAAGTCATTTATCACAAACAAAAAAATTTCCCATTGTATACATAATATATATGTATATATAATTAATTTTGCACTTAAGTATTTGTTTATTAATTACTGTTTATGGGATTAACTTTTATTTTTCTAATTATTTGATATAGATTAATTATAACATGTGAATTACTCTTAAAAATGATGAAAAAATAAATTAAAATGAAATTAAATCTAAAATATTATGTTTTGACTGATGCAAATCTTATGTCATTTTTTAAAATATTAGTTATTCGATATGTAATTTTTTAAATTTACCCAAATAAAATATTTGATTTCAAAAATTTTAAATAAAGTATTTTATATTTTAAATCATATCGTTGTTTAATAACAAAATTTTGAACTCTTTACCATCCTACTTATAAATGTGGATTTACTTCTCCTATTCAATTGTCCCAAGTTTTTATTGGACAGTTATATTACTGCTTACGAAAAGTAAATCAATTTTAAAGTTAGCTTGAGGTAAAATCAATATATGATCATGTTTTTAAATAAATACCAAAAAAAAAATTCATGATGGAAATTACCCATCTATTAGATTTACCTACCACAATATATATTATTTTATTCAATTCAATTTCAACAAAAAGGTGCATGAGACTCTAAATATTGCACAAAATAAGGTATAAATAATAATTTAGAAAATAATTTATACAATGTATATCTTGTCCAAAAGGTGACTATTATATATTTTTTTTAAAAAATGTCGAACATGGAATAGATAGTAAATACAGAAAAGCTTAATAAAGTATGTGTCAGGTTTTATAAATTTAAAAAATAAAATAAAATATGTTTTATAATACTGGAATAATTTTAAAAACATATGATGGTCCATTTAGCCCCAAAAAGGCTTTAACAATTCAGGAAAGGGCGCGACAATGTATTTGTCATCATATAATTTATTTTCTCTATATAAACATAATAAAGTAATATTCAAGAAATATGCTTCCAGTTTTGATCCCTAATTTTAATTATTAATTTGAGGGAGCGGTCATAGCTGCAAAATAATCCGTCGGCTTCATTACTACCAGGTCACTCGTGGCCTCCGTGCCAAATAAGAAAACGTTCTGGCGGGAAAAAGCTATTGATCGCCTAATTTTTAAGAATTCGTCGCAACATTTATTATACCTTTTATCCTTTTTATTGTTTAAGATATTTTCTATCAACTCGCTTCGACCCTTAGTAAGGTACCCAGGTTCTGAGGATGAAGCTGTATATGTAATTTTTTTTTTTTTAAATTAGATTATAAATTCAGAATTGCAAACATGATCTCAGTGTAAGATTGAATCATATATAGGAATAATATATTATAAATGATGGTAATAGCTTGAGGAAAAATATTTATCAGTTGGTCCATTCCAAATTTTTCAAAGGGCGGTTCTAGTTCTTATATTTAACCCAGTTTAGAGCTTATTTTAATTCATATTAAAAAGAATAAACGTAGTTGTGCATTTGTTAGAATCGTTTCCGGTTAAATTTTTTTAAAAAAAGTTCGGGTTTTCGGTCCGGTTTTTCTCTTGTAACGAACACGTTATGGTTACAGTCCTTAGCTTACCGGGTTCAAGATCCGAGTAAAAACCATTTAATAGGATTCCCATTAACGATCTGAATAAGTGAAATTTGAGCAACATGGTATAAATAAATGGTTATGTCCCACCTCAAGCTAAGATGTAATAAGATTTTGCGACAGCTGTAAAATATAAACGAATCATAGGCTAAAAACATGTTTTTATATTTGCATTTGAGAGGCGAAATCAGGTTACTTTCGTCTTGTTTGAGGTGGGCCTATTAAAAAAAAATAAAATATTAACAATTCTGGCCAGAATATTTGAATTCTATCGCGGCAGGTATCCTTTTCGTCAAAAAATTTTGCAGATTTTTTTCGGGGAAGTGGGCGAACGGACAGCCTACCATTTCGCCATCTTTTATTAGATTAGACTTATTTTATTTATTTTTTTAAAAAAAAAAAATTTAATTTTCAAAAATAATATCATTGACCAATTTTCGTGTCTTACTTAAATACGATAAATTTTAAAAAAGTTTACACGTATCTCAAATGATTAAAATGATATTTTTAAAATAAATATAAACGACAAATAATTTTGCTAACATAATATAACTTTAACACCGAAGACCACTTAAAATAAACAAAATAAAAAAAAACTTGGATCTGGGTACACGAATGACAGGAATAGTTTTTGCGAGAACCTTCCATTCCGTATAGGTGCCTCAAATTATAGGTGTACCTTTTATCATCTAAGTGCATTTATAAAATGGATATAAATATTCATAAATTTATTTGTGGTGTAAATCGAAAGAAAAAAAAATGGAAAATTTTGAAAGATAAAATGGGTGCTTCCTGTGCCATTCTTTTTTAGTTTTCAATTATAGTGGTGGTTAGCAAAACTGATCAGAGCATGATGGGAATAATATATGCCCTAAAAACAGCAGTTTAGTGCAAAACTTAAATAAAATTTTTGCTGTATGGGCGCTCTCATAGCCAGATATGCATTAAAAGCGATTGTGGGAATATGCAGACAAAAGATTTACCATTTTTGGAATCGTATTCCGACGAAGAAGTCCAAGTATGATTGCAATGGCACGAGTGAGAAGCCGAGCTCTGTCTAGTCTTGGAATATTCATTCCTCCAGAAGTCTAAGGCTTCACTAAAAGGGAGCCCAGCACTTTTGAGGAATAAGGAATATCTGATCTGTAAAACAAGGAATTACAATGTATAGTTATTATAATATGGAATGATTAAGATTTTTTAAAAATAATTTTTATTTAGCTCAAAGTTAACTAAATTCTGTGAATAAATTCATCATATTATGCTCAGATAAATGTAGGGTGGAAGTATATTGGGATCACAACTCGCCCCAGGGTAAATATCTAAATAAGACTTTTCAAAATATATACTTAGAAAAAATATAGAACAATTACATATTCTATGCTTACATTTATATTTTTAAAACTCTAATCCATAAAGCAGAATAAAACTAGTCTAAATATCGCGGTGCGTCCCTTACCTAAATAACACGCAAAATTAAAGCTTCAATAAAATAATTTCTGAAGACGAAAAATAAAACGCTGTCAAACTCTAAATTAGCTACATACATATAAAATATTAGCTAGGAATATAGGTCGTAAGAGTCGTAATTGAAGGATTTCGTTGCAAAAACACAGATCTAGAATATTTTTTTAAGGCTCAAATCTTCAAAATGAGTCAGGGCCATTTAAATCGATAACAATTAAATATAGTAAACAACAACACTGGGCAGATCTTACTTAGAAAAATATACGGTATGGGGAGAGAGGAGTGGTGGTTGTAATTATATACTCTGCTATGATGATCCAAACGATGAATGAACCTTAATTTGAGGTGCAAGTATTCCATGCAGGGAGGAAAATATTTGGATAACCTGTCGATTTCCTCGGATTTAATGTACCTGCTGTCTTTCGATTTGGGAGAAACGGGCGAGCTCACCTTGATCCGACATTCCTTTTCGAGAACATTCTAGAAAGTAGGATTGGGGAAGGGTGGTAGATTATTATAAACATTTATAAGAATTTTAACAATTATTAGTAAATTAGTTTAATTTTCTATTCGAATCGAATAATGTTCTCATTATTCGTATACAATCATGAATACGGAATTATTCGATTCGTATGAATGAATGAGGCAAAAGTCAAAATATAATCCCTATTGGAATCTAGGGAAAATAAATCCCCCGGAAAATAAAAAATCCCCGATTTTTGAGATATTAGAAATTAATAAAATAGGAGAAAAAAATTCAATCAAACTTTCTGCCTGGCCCTTAAAAATATTTTGGTACAAGTTAGTGTGACAAGATTATCTAATTATAAGTTTCTGACCCCACCCCTCCCCTTCTCACAAAGATGTATAATCCTTTATATCTTATTCAACCCCTTGAAAACATGTGATTTTGATTTTAGGCAAAATATCAAGTAATATATGGTTCAATGATAGCCTAAACCAGGCCAAATAAAACATGGAGGGGGGGGGGGCTTTGTAAGGGTCTCTATAAGCTAATTAATTTTTTTATTAAAAATATCTCATTTTTATCAAATAACACCTAAAGGTGGAGTGGAGGTAGCCAGCTCCCAGTCGGGTCAACGATTAGATTCCAGAAAAGAATGAGAAAAGATGGATGGAGAGGGGGTTAGGGCATAGAGGTCTGCATTGGGCGGGTTTTTCGCTCGCCCGCCCATACTTTGAATAAGCATGGTCGGGGTTTTTTTTAAATATTTTCAACATGGGGGGGGGGTGGCGGGCGGTTTAAAATATTTTAAAGTAATGGGTAGGCGTGGGCGGGTTAAATAAATTTCAAAACAACGAATGGGCGGGCAGCTTTTTTGCTATAACCCGACCATTACAGACCTTTAAGTAGGGCATAATACAAAAGAAAGAAAATAAAATATCAACTTTCGCGAAGGTGTGCATTCTTTCGAATCGTTTATCCTTGTTTATAAGTGCGATCATAAAATTTTTGTAGTAGGAGCGACTAACATCCAACAAATGCTGAAAGGTGTGGGTCATAAAGGTCTTGAGCCATTTAAACGTCACCATGGCTTGGCCATGGCTTAATCCCAATTTTTTTTTGGCTACTAACCTGTAGACCGAGGAATAGAAAGGGACCTTGAAAGCTAGCGTATCGTTAAGCGACGACGAGTTAACACTATTTTTGGGTTTTATTATATCGCCAATTTTCTGTTCTTCCATCCAAAGTTTAAGGTTGGAGACGAAGAGCGAATCGATTTGTTGATATATAGGCGTAAAAATGTTGAAGAATTCCGAGGCGGCTAAAATATAATATATATACATAATTTATTTTAAGTTTTAACAAGCAAAAAAAAATGAATTATTACACACTAATTAGTTGGTTATTTTTATTTTGGGAGAACTAATGATAATTTATTGTCCTATATATCTTAATAATTGTTGAAATCGATTTTGGTTAGGTAAAGCCAACCCATAGCTAGTGTTGTTTAAACGGTTCGATTTGAGCGGATTTTTTTAAAAACGGTTAACTCAACATTTTAGCCGGATAAACATGTCATAGGTTTCGAGATTTCGATAATAGATTTTCAAACCTTCGTGCCATGGAAGAGCAAAATATCTTCGGGGTTGTATAATATTTTTCTGGAAAAAAAAATTATCGAGTTAGCCGTTTTTAAAAAATCGGCTCTAATCGACCCGTTTAACAACACTACCCATAGCCTAACCAGGTAAACATTTTCTAGGTCTAAGCCTAACTCATATCTCTTATAAATGGAGTTAAGAAAATGGCCCAAACTTATTAAAATAGGCATCGAATTTAAAATATTCAGTAATAATTGTAAATATTATATGAAAAATCAATTATATAAAATATTTAACATCTGATTTTTTGAAAACTCATTTCATAATGATATTTAATCGGAAAGAAAAATATTAATATTGTTCTTGGATCTAAATTTTACTGATGATGATATTCCTTAAAAAGGTATTTAGATACTAATACATGATATTTTTTTCCCAAAAATATCAGTAAGATGTAAGATAACAGATACTTAAAAAAAATTGACATAACGGTGAAGCCTTATAATATTTTTGGATATCGCGTTATAAATTATAACATAATGGTCTAAACAAAACACTTTATTTATATTGATTTGACTTATGTAGAATAGTGAAAGTCATGATTCAGTCTTTAATCCGGGTCGATAGGCACGAACCAGACCTCAAACCTTAAATAAATGCCCGGTCCAGACCATGGTCAAAGACCGGTCTTTTTGTTAAGAATATCAGATCAAATACGAATAATATATTAAATAATACAATTATTTAATTTTAAAATTAAAATACGTTTTTTGACAAACATTTCGTTGCAGAATAAAAAAATGAACTAAAAAAAGAAAGAAGAAAAAAATCTCAAATGCGGGAGTAACTCCCCTAGAAAAGTAATGTAAAATAAAATATATAAAAAAAATTTAAGAAAATATTATATGAATTGATTAAACTTAAATATTAATTTTTAAAAACTGGCCCGCCATGATCCGGACTAAAAAAAAGATCGGTCTGGACTGTGGTTGCTCATTGGTCCCTTTCGGTCTGACCGACAGTATTAGGACCAAAAAATACCGAAAACTATATTAAAAATTTTATAAATAATTCTTATTTTTAAAATATATTTCTCAGATAATGCCTATTTTATACTACCCATTGACAAGGTTAGCAAAGTTAAATAGCTGGTCAATTGGGGCTGAAGAGGGCAAAATAGTGTTAAAAAAAATTATTTAAATTTATGTGAGTTGCAATTATTAAGACAATTTTAGTATAAATTAATATTTCCAATTTTCATTATAAAAAAAAGATTATTCTCTTCAATAAAAGAAGGATGAATTTATAGGCTTGTGCTTGTCAAATGCATTCTTGCCCTTAAAAAAATCAACAGATTTTGCAGATAACTATTTTATCATCATTGTCACCTCATAATATTTTACAAACAAGTATTAGAAATGGGTGACCAGATAGTCATTTTATATTTATAATTAAATTTCGAAATATTTCGAAATCTTTTATTCTCAACCCAATTTCGATGGCCTTAACAAGTGATAGGCAAAAACGTATGTCAGGTTGAGGTAAATTGTGTGCACTTAATTTTATAACAAATACAATTGGAACCCAATCCCTATAATAAAAAATATTTTGGCCCATAGCACTTGATAAGGGATGCATTGTTTTGGTATAGTATATTCCTCAAAATAATTTTTTAGCTATTATTAGTGTTGTATTGAAACAGAAAAACCTTTTATATATTTAATTGAGATTTATTAATTAAATATTATTATTTGGGCAAGAAATCATTAGGAGGGGGGGGGGGATTTTTTAAAAAAAAGAGTCTAATATGGATTTAAATTAAATATTTAATCTTTTAAATTGAATAAGCATTATATATCAAAAAAATAGTGAAATATTAAAAGTAACTGTATCTTCTGCAAATTAAATAGTTAAAAATACAAACACTAAGTAATAATGCAGAACTCTGCATGGCTGACACTACTTTGTAGTGCCAGACTCTAAAAGCCAAAATATATTTAATTTTAAAAAATTATAAATTTTAATGAGATTTAATAAAATATAAATAATAACATCATAATTTTGTAAATTTATTAAAAATAATCATTATTATATATATATATATAAACATTATTTAAAACCTTTTTCAACAGAAGGGTTAGAATTATACATATTTAATGAGTTTTCAATATATCTCCAAAATTTTAAAAACTCTTTAGAATTCATACTCTCTAGACAATAGCTAAACCAAATTGTCTCTGATGTTATAAAAAATTCAAAATATTCATATTGCATTGAACATAATACTCTAATAAATGAGAAATAATACTAAAGAATACAATATTTATTAATGCCTAAGAATATGATGTGAAATATTGTCTTTAACACTATTTGGAATTATAAAATCAAAATTGTATTTTGCATTTTCAAAAATTTTGTCAATATCTTTCGTTGGAGAATTATAAACATCTTTCAAAAATAAAATTCTTTTGTGACATAAATCGTACAAAGTTGAAAATGGTAGGTTTTCCTTTGGAAAATTCAAATAAAATGTCATTTAAAAGGGTGGTGCTGGAATTTTGTCAAAATCATTCAACAGCTGTTCTTAAAAATTCAAAAATTTCATAATACAATAACTAATCTAAAAACAAAAATAAAATTAAAATGTAAATATCATTTAAAAAATGTATAAATTTTAATAAAATATATCTATAATAATAAAGAAAATACTTATTTATAATCAAAAAAAAATAATTGATAATTATTATATCTATATGTAGTTATAACAAAATATCCCATTTTAATATTATTATTATTCAAGAAAATGCCTATTTATCATATTCAATATTCTTGAAACATTTTTATATCTATATATGTTTTTTGATGAAACAAAATATTGAATTTTTTTCAAATTTGTGGGATTGTCTAATATTTATTAATATATAGTTTATTTGTTCTCTGTTCATAAGCTAAGAGGAGTAATAACAAAATTTATTATTATACTACTCTTAATGATAGGTCTTGATGTGGGCTAGGGTTAATATTATATTAGATGGAATTTATAAGATTCTAAAATATGGAATTTATGTTGACTAATATTAAATTTGAGGACCATATTTGGGGCTAGTTTGAAGATATTAAAAGATAAGGGTTAGTGTTTATTTCGGATGAGGAGAAACACTCATTTTATTAGAGACCAAAACCTATTTTAAAATTATGATTATTTTATTGCAATTGTATTTTGGAACATGTTGAATGGTCTAACATTACAATAAGTGATCAGTAAATTTACATGCATAAATTTTATTATTATTTTGTCAACTTATATTTTCATTGTTTAAATTATAGTCAAATTCGGGCAATATACAATTCCATCTGACGAAGGTATTCAACTAGGAGACCCTTTGGGCCGTCTGATCTTTAGTTTAGGTATACATAACCTAGTTCATTGTCTAAAATTATTTTTTAATTTAGATTTAACATATGGTATCTAGATGATGGTACCATTTGCGGACCTTCTAAAAATATTCTTGCAGCAATAGAATATATAGAGAAGAATTCTCTAAACATAAGCCTTACTCTAAATAAAGCTAAATTTGAAATATGATTTTTAAATTCAAATACTCTCGAAGTTCAAGGGTTTAAAATCATTAAAAAAAGTGAAATTAATCTTCTAGTTTCACCTTTAGGCAGTTTTTTCAACTGTGAGGTGTTGGCGGAAAAATTTTTCGAAGGCTTAATAGGACTTGAAAATATTTTAAAAGAAATTCCTTTACACCAGAGCTTTTTTCTTTTAAAAATATATATTTTTTTACCAAAGATTTTACATAATTATAGATCTTCTTCCTTTTTTTTAAATAATGAAATTATTAATCTTGTTCATTAATTTTCTAGAAGTTTATTAAAAAATATTTTAAATATTAAATTGGAAGATTTTAATTGGGATTTCTCACAATTACCCTCGAAAATGGGTGGTTTAGATTTATATCCTTAAATCTATTATCTCTTTCCTCATTTTTGGCATCGCGTTTGATGAATAACGCCACGATAACTTCTTTTATCTCTCCTAAAGATAGCCTTTTAAACTCAGCCTTGACAGCTTGGGTATCTTTAGCTCCACCTGAAGCTGTTTTACCCACAATCTTAACACACCAATCTATCTTCGAACCTTTAATTAAAAATTTTTTTTAAATAATCTCATCAAACCCCCCCTTTGAAGTATATTCAACGATTACAGAGTGCTGACTGTACTAGTGGTTATGAATGGTTGGAAGCATTACCAAGTCGTCACCTAGATAACCTCATATCAGATGAACAACTAAGAGTTGCCATAGGCCATCGACTTCGATGTAACATTCTTACCACATACATGCATCAAATGTAAAATATTAGTTGACTCTAAAGGGAGACATGGTCTTAATTGAATATATAGTCAAGGCAGGCATGCAATGCAGCTATTAATTTAGCTATTAGCCGTTCTCTTACCAGGGCCCGAATACCAAACATTCTGGAGCCTACAAATTTATTTTAAATGATGGCTAAAGACCAGATGGCTTAACTTCCGTGTCTTGGACTTTAGGGAAATCCTTAAATTGGGACTTCACATGCGTATCTTTAAACGAGAGCCTAATTTATCTTATATCTAATGCAAAATTTATTAAAAAATTACCGGATCATCTAGAAAATAAGGAAGCAAGTTATCAATTTAATAGTAGATTTTAAATGAGAATAATTACTATGTGTTACCAAAATGGCGGGTCCAGCTGATTAACTTTTAACGACGCTTAAAAACGCAATTTAATGATTGAATCGTCAGTCTAGGTATTATATAGGCAATTGGGTAGTAGATGGGACAAGTGTAAAAGTATCTTTAGCTACTTTTGTAAATGGCTTTTATATAAACTAAATCAATAATAAATTATTACCTCTTATGAGTTAAGTAAGATATTCGTTCACATATCTAAAAGATATAGTACAATTCACAATAATAATCTGGTTAGGAAATTCCGATAAACTCGAAATACACATTATTATGTAGGGGCATAATTTTAGTTATCAAAATATTGTCAATTAAATGAAATTTGCTTTTAAAAATTAATTGATCGCGTTATACATTGCTCCATCTTTTTTTTTTAAATTCATAAAATTCATTGATAGTTTTCTGTTATTATATGAGCTCGGTGAATGGGCGCATTATCCATTATTATTAGCGAATTCATCGGTAATATGGATGATAATTCATCCATGTAAGTTTTGAATTTTATTGATGTAACTGCCCCGTCTATAATCATTAGTGTTGTTTTGACGATAAAACGGCTAACTCAATACTTCATCCAAAAAAATATTACACATGCCTGAAGATTTTTCTCATAGAAGGAACAAAGGTCTATACATATATTATCGAAATCTTGAGGCTTAGGCAATATTTTTCTGGCTAAAATATTGAGTTAGCCGTTTTAAAAATCGGCTCAAAACGAGCCGTTTAACAACACTAATAATCATGTATTTTTTGAAACCATTAATTCCTATGGTGCGTAAAACCGATACGTTTTCCCCCTCTGAAGGAGAGAGTTTGACGGATGGCCTCTTACCTAGAGGTGCCCATCCATAGTGGAAATTGACGTGGTAATTGAAGCCTGTTTCATAGAATATACTTTGAAATGGCACGTTCATCATTTTTAGGCAATATTTAATATTTATAACATCTGGGGAATTCCGTCTATCGGGTTCTTTTCCAACCCTTTTCCTGCTCCATCCCATTGATTTAAGGCATCTAGATATCCCGAACAGGGATGACATGTCTTCCCCATCAACGAGAGACTCCCGCAATTTTTTAGTTTACACGCAGATATCTCTCTCACGCAAAACTACCGCAATTGGAAATCTCCCGCAAAAATCTACCGCAATTTTAATTTCCGCAATTTTTTAATAAAGTATTTCAACGTTTTTAATATATAAATAATGATTTTGAGACACAGTATTGAATATTTTTATATTTTTAAAATAAATTTTAAATATTTCGAAAAACATGTCTAATTTGTAAATTTCTTTTTATCCTGTTTTATTTATATCCAATAATAAATCAACATCATTTTATTCATACAAGTCAGTACAGGAGAGTATATCGTATATTAACATCTATTGCAATACAAAAATATTCTACAAAAAAAAATAGATCATACATATTCAACTACAGCTTCGGAAATCGTATAAACCTATCATGTAGTTCAACATTCAAAGAGCTATATCATCACAATGTTGCAGTGGCGTAGGCATGGGAAGGTTTTGGGGGTTCACCCCCCCCCCCCCATAAAAAATGGGAAAATGTTGCCTTTGCAGCATTAGAATTTTATATATCAAGCAAGGAAAAAGATTCAGCAGATGCCGAAAATCTTTTGCAGGCTATTATTAAGCCACATTTTTTAAATTTCAATTCAATGTGTTTATTTTATGATGTTGTCTTTGAAGCACTAGAATTTTATATATCAAGCAAGGAAAAAGATTCAGCAGATGCCGAAAATCTTTTGCGGGCTAATATTAAGCCATAGTTTTTAATTTCAATTCAATGTGTTTATTTATTATTTAATTAACATATGATTTTAGCATAAAGCTACAAAAAATTGATTTGGATTTAAGGGAGATTATGAATAGAGCAATGAATATTGTTGAAATATTAACAAATATCAGAGAGAATGTGGATGAAAAATTTCATGAAATATATGAAAAAGTAAAGGAGATTGCTAATATGTTTAGAATTGAAATTTTTAAACCTAGAGTAGTCTCTAGACAATCCAATCGATCAAATATTGATGCATCTACGATTGATGATTTTTACATAAACATTTTTATTCCTCTTATTGATACATTTTTATTTCAATTGAAAGAAAGATTTGTTAGTCATAATTATATTTTAAAAAGCTTTTATTTTCTTTTGCGGTTCAGTCTAAACTGTTGATTACACTTGAAACACGAGAGGATATTAAAAAAATCTCAGTTTTCTGCTGATGATTTAGTAGGTTTATATGATATACTTTGTGATTTTGGTATAAAAATCTTGACAGAATAGGGTATTCTTTGAGACCAAAAAATTCTCTGCAGGCCCTTTCCATTTGTAATTGCATTTTAGATTCCCTGCCTAATATCAAAACATTATTAATTATTTTTGCTACCTTGCAATAAGTACCTGCGCTAATGAAAGATCTTTTTTAACTTTAGAAAGGTTAAAAACCTATTTAAGAAACACAACCCGTGAAAAACGTTTAAATGGATTCCTATT